AAGGGTTATCAGGAAGTTGGTAAAAGAAACTGGAAAGGAATTATACCAATTTTAGCAGATAGTTGAGGAAGCAGTTGGATACTATACGAGGCTGTTGGGAGAAGCAAATATGGAGATTAAGCCCTGCAAAGAAGAATTGGGGTGTTTGGTTAGGCAAAAACTGCTCGAAGCTGATTGTGAGCTACTTGTTCGAGAAGTAACAACTGAAGAGGTGAGACAAGTGGTATTTGACATGAATGTTCAAAAGGCACCTGGCCCCGATGGTTTCTCAGCAGGATTTTACAAGCAAACATGGCATATCATAGGTGCTGATGTAAACCAAAGGGGTTCTTGACTTCTTTAAATTAGGTAAACTTCCTAGTGGGGTCAATTCCACTGCTGTCTACACTGTTGACACAAGCTAGTCAATCTGGTTTACTCCCTCATCATACGCAGTGTAAGAAAGTTGGCTTTAATCATATGTGCTTTGCGGATGATATCCTTGTTTTTACTACTGGTTCTGGTCAATCTATACTTCAGGTTAAGATGATTCTACAACACTTTTATCAACTATCTGGTCTCAAAAGTAATCCAGCTAAGTGCGAGATTTACTTTGGGGGGGGGGGGGGGGGGGGGGGAGTCAGTCAAGTACAAGAATAATTCCGTGAGTCTAACAGGGTTTCAGGAAGGCTGCTTGCCAGTAAGGTACTTGGGCTTACCTCTCATAACTGGGAAATGATTCTATAAAGAGGTAGACATTCTAGTGGACAAGATCACCAAGCGGATTAAACCTTGGAGGGGAAAGAAGTTGGCTTATGCAGGTTGTCTTTAGCTCCTTAACTCAGTGCTGTTAGGGATACTTCAATATTGGATGAAACCGTTTGTTCTTCCCAAACAAGTCCTTAAACGAGTACAGAAGGTCTGCTCGCAGTTTTTGTGGCATGGCAGTGATGAGGGGAAGGCAAAGGTGCCATGGGAGTCAATTGCACTTCCAAAAGCATAGGGTGGTTTGGGGGTGAAGGATCTCCTAGCACAGAATCAGGCTAGCACTATCTGCATGCTCTGGCTTTTCTTGTTGAACTCAGGGACTCTGTGCGTGGCTTGGATGAATGCATATAAGAGTAAATAGGGAGATCTATGGTCTTTAAAAGTTCAATATAGTAATTCATGGACATGGCGTAGGCTGCTCAAGTTACGCTCTCTAATTCGTCCATGGATGCGGAAGCATAATGATGTGATATATTGGGGATCTAAGACGATGATGGTCTACTCGGTCATGAAGTCTGGGAATCACTACGAGTTAAGGCGCAAGAAGTTACATGGCACAAGCTTATTTGGTGCAAGACTTGTCCTCCGCGATATAATCTGCTGGCTTGGATCTTGAACAAATACGCCATTTTCACGAGAGACAAGTTACAGAAATGGGGGGAAATTGTGGATGCCTCGTGCCCTTTATGTGGAGTGGCAGGTTAGCATCTCTTATGAAATGTCGACTATTTGCTCATCGAGACTGGGACAACATGTTGCAAGTTGCTATTGTTGCTAGCAGTAATACTCGAACAGGCCAGGTGCACGCTTTGCTCTGGTGTATGCTGATTTCGTTTGTGTGGAAGGAAAGATGTGTTGTTGTCCATGGCTTAGTTCGTAGGGATCCAGAGAAGGTTGTTGATATGTTGAAGGCGGATTTGTAGTATATAGCTACTGGTAATAAAGCAATACAGACAACACTAGTAGAACTCCGCTTGTCTTTTCCGATAAGTAGTCAATTATAGGTAGTGGGAGTTGGACTCATCCAGGATCTTTCTAATCCTTCTTCGTTGTATCGGTTTTTTCATTGAGCAATACAATAAACTGATTCAACGGGGAAAACAATCCAGGAATAAAGAGATTTTTTGCGTTCACCCAAAAGTCGAAAATGGATTAGAAAAAGAATGGGTAAATTGCATCGTTGGTCACTAGGATTACTAAAAACGTTCATGTTTAGTCACTGAGAATATTTAATATTGTTCGTGGTCACTAAATTTAGTAAAACAGTCCAAGTTCGGACACTCTCCGTTAGTCTCCATCTGTCTCCGCTAATTGAGATCATTATGTGCTGACGTGGCAGACAGAATCGTCTAGTCAACCTCATTTAACCCAAAATTGGGGAAACCTGACATGCCACGTCATTAAAAATCGCCATGTCACCTTACCCCAGCAAACACAACTCCCGAACCGACCCATAAACCGACCTACTCAAACAAAATAAGGACCTATCCACTTTCTTTTCCAAATCTGAAAATTATTCTCTCTAGTTCTTCATTTTTCTTGCCATTCGTTCAACAACCAGCTCAGATGATGCCTCAACCGGTCGTCGCAATAATTGCGGACGCCGCCACAATAAGTACCAAAAGGTACCACTGCCCTTTTCCTTCATTTTTCTTCGACAGAGACCTAGATCTGAAGGCGGCGAATGCCTAGCATCATTTTTCCTCTATTTTCCTCGTTGAGAGGGAACAACTCCTCGAATCCCTCCATCAAAAATCAAACTCGAGGATTCCTTTTGCGGTTTCTATTGTGGCGATGGAGGCTTAGGGAAGTTCGGTTTGGAGAAAGGGGTGATTTCATTAACTGGGTCCATTCGGGATGGAGGAAGAGGAGAGAGGCGGAAGTTGTCGTTTGTCGATGGGGTCGAGGCAGGACATTAGCTCCCCAAGAATTGATGACTTCTTGTGGCGGGTAAGAGCAAAATGGACTGGGTTGGGACCAAAGCGAAGTTTGATCGGGGTTTGGTAGGAGGATCATCTGATGGAATTGATGACTCCTTGTGGGTTGTGGCCACCCTCTTCTTCCTCTTCACTCTCCTTCTGATACTTTATCCCAGCTGGCGATTTTCTTCTCGAGTGTGGAGGACTCCAGCTTGGACCTTTCGCCAAAAGAACATCTTCCCGTGGAGTCGCCGGGAGAGGCTCTGCATTGATACGGTAGCGCAGGAGGAGAGGTGAAAAGCAGGGGTGGGCGTTCGGTCGGTTTGGTTTGAACCGAACCGAACCAGGACATGCCAAATTTCCGATGTAACCAGCACCCCAACCGAATTCGAACCGAGCTATAATTCGGTTCGGATCGGTTCGGTTTTAATGCCCTGAACCAAAATCTACAGTTGCTGCCTAACCATTTTTGCCTGCTGCCTTCTAGTTTGTTTCGCTGGAACTAGAAATTTGGCATGGGGCAGGCTGCTCACTGCTGCAATTTGGCATGGGGCTGGCTGCTTACCCAACCATTTTTTATACTTTGGAAGTTTGGAGTCTGACTTCGGAGTTGGAGTGTAGGAGTAGAGGAGGCGAGTGCCGAGTGTCGTCGGAGTCGGCAGAAGATTGAGATTGAGTGGCGGCCGGAGTCCGGAGGAGACTCGACGGTCGACGGGTGCTTGCCTGGGTCTAGGTCACTGGGTGGGATTGCAGGAGGCGGAGAGCCGGAGACCGGTGCCTGGTGGCGAGCAGCGAGGGTGAGGATCGAGTCGAGAGGAAGACGAAGCATCCTCTCTCACTCTTAGCACTCAGGTCGGGCTGTCGACTTTGTCGTGCTCGGGCAGTGGAGGAGGAGTCGCATTCGGCAGTCGCTGCAAGTGCGTCGGACAGTTCCCCTTCCCTTTCCCTTTGCAGTTTGCCGCGATTCCGTCAATTCGATAGGCCGCTAGGGTTAGGTCGCAGACGACAGTGGGTCGAGTTGTTGAAGTCTTGAAGTCTGAAGAGGCCACCAGCCCACCAGACCAAACGCAGCAGACGGCATCAAGCAGGGAGCAGGCCCAGCCGCCCAGGCCATGATGGGAAGCCCAATCCAATTTGTTGGACTGGGGCGGAGTGGGCTGAAAAAAGAAGGCTGGGCCGCGAGTATTGGGCTGGGATTCAGGCAGTGGGTTTATATTTTCGAAGTTCGGTCGTTTTTTCGGAATTTTGGTTCGGTTCAAACGAACCTGATAGTTGAAATTTCCCATATTTACATCCGAATTTCGAACCTAATTACAAGTATTTTGGTTTCGGTCAATTTTTATTCGGTTCGGTAAAACCGAACATAATGCCTACCTCTAGTGAAAAGGAAGAGGCTTGACTACTCTGAGGTTGGAAGTGATTTAATTAGCTAGTGCAAAGTGCTCTTCAGGTTTCCCATCTTTATGTGTTGGAAGTGATTTTAGCTGTCATGAAAATTGAAGAACTAGAGATAAGATAGCTTTTAGATCTGGAAAAGAAAGTGGATAGATCCTTATTTTGTTTGAGTAGGTCGATTTATGGGTCGGTCGGTTCAAGAGTTGGGTTCAAGTGTTATTGAGTTACTGGTTGGGTTTCATCAATTTTGGGTTAAATGAGGCTGACTAGACGATTCCATCTGCCACGTTAGCACATAACTATCTCAATTAACAGAGACGGACAAAGACTAACGGAGAGTGACCAAACTTGGACTGTTTTACTAAATTTAGTGATCACGAATGAAATTAAATATTTTCAGTGACTAAAAATGAACGTGTTTTGTAATCGTAGTGACCAACCTTGCAATTTACCAAAGAATTACCACAGTTTGGGAAACTTTGCAAAAACATACAAGTACAACTAGGGCTGCAAATGAGTCGAGCTGCTCGACGTTCGACTCGAGAAAAGCTCGTTCGAAACTCGACTCGTTAATAAACGAGCCGAACACGAGCTCACCTTTGTTCAGCTCGTGAAGCTCGCGAGCTAGCTCGACTCGGTGGCTTGTTGAGCTAAACTCGTGAGCTGGCTCGTTTAGAGCTCATGATATGTCTTAACATGTGCCTAGAGAGCCAACTCGACTACCAACTTATGGACGAATCAATCTATATCTTATGATTTTAATTCATATGGTTGTTAAATTATATATCTCACCATATATAAAGTTTAACACGTTGAGTATGTGAGCAAATATATCTTATTTTCTACTTTAAAAAGAAATTATGCATCATAGATTGCTTCGATACTATGAAATAACATGATTTGGAGTAGTTAAAATTTATTAGCTAAATGATATATGATACCAACAAAGTATAATATGAGATTAGCTAACAAAATAAATTATATGTATCATGATATACAAAATAAAGTACCAATTAAAAGTTAAGATTTTAATAAACAAGCTAGCTCAAACTCGACTCGGCTCGTTAATAAACGAGCTGAGCTCGAACTCGACTCGTTTATTAACGAGCCGAGCTCAAGCTGGGATAAAACTCGACTCGACTCATTTGCAGCCCTAAGTACAACCTACCTTGAAAACAGAATATAACCCTTTCCTTTAACCCGAACGAACTCGTACTTACAACTACAAAGCTAAGCAAGTAAGCTGACGGTCTTCTTCAGCTTCTCCTTCAAACCAAAGCCCGTGTTGCTATGGTCAGAATAGCGATTTACAATTGCGACTATGTTAATAAACCATGAACCAGAAACAGACCGCAAACTTCATCTCACTGTGAGCTTACAGAAAGAAGCCTTCGACTTCACGTCCTGACAATGTCTCCCTGTATACATTGAGTGCCTCCTCCATCACATGTGCCTGTGCCAGCAACCGTGACCTTTTCTTCCCAGATGGATGAGTAGAAAGATAGTTTCTCAATGCTGATTCCCCGCTGATCTTCCCCAGTTTCTCGTATACGCTTGGCGCAATACGGGGATCGTATCCAGCAGAGGCCATCAACAGTAGACCTATGTAATCAGCTTCGATCTCCATCCTAACAAAAGAACAAAAAAGATATTCAGTTTCTTATCCTTGAAATACCAGTAAGGTGAGAGGCTAGCAGTCAAGCATCGATATTCATCAGGACTCCAGAGATACACTGATAGTAATGGAACTGACTTCACTACCAAGAACCAACTCCAACTTCCACAGGAAGGGCAGTAGGGTAAGGAAAAACAGGTCTAATGATTTTTACAAAGATGGACCATCTATGACAGAACTGGAAAGCCCAAGCATGAGCATGCACATGAACATGATAAAACTGAACACATGAATGAATTGAAAGATTACTATGAGAAAACTGAACACATGAACAATAGATGACATGGGGATTTGCAGAAACACACAGTCACTCTCTTCACAGAAAGGTATATATATCTGTCAGCAAAGGGGACTAATAGAAACCTGCAAATGCATCACATGGGTCCAATTGGCAACTCTTTTTTGCTTCTAGGGCTACCGGCATTGCATTAACAGTCAGGACCAAGAAACCAAATCATGATTCAACCCCAACAAAGCAAGCGAACTTACTTTCGAGAAAATGGAAGCCTCAAGAAAAGAGTGGACATTGTGTTGGCGAGATCCGCTGCTATGAACTGGAAAAGAATAATTTGCACAATTGCAACCCACAAATTCTTAGTGATTCCCTCTGCTGAATGTCTCGCCACAGCATGCCCAACCTAACAGTAAAAGAGAGCACACACTTGATAATCACCAGTCAGAACAACTACAGAAACAGAATCAAACCAGCATCTTCTGTGAAAGAATGAACGAATCACCTCGTGGCCGATAATGGTGGCTATCTCAGCATCAGTTGAGAAATGCTTAAGCAAACCGGTGAAAACAACAATCTTTCCACCCGGTAAACAGAAAGCATTGACGACAGGCTGATCAACAACCACGACCTCCCAGTTTAGTCCATCCAAATGCGAAGTTCCAGCTTTCCTTCCCTTCTTTCTAGTCTTTTCCACCCACTTATCATCAAGAATCTCGTCCTGTTTCCCCCAATCAGTCTCTGGCTTCCCTTCATCCTCACTCAACATCTTATGCGTCTCCCTAGCACGCCCCCTATCCGCTGCAGCAGCAGCATCAGTACCATCGGCGGTGGAAGCATAGTCCAGCTCTTTCCACCCTTGCTCATGACTCACCCCTCTTTGCAAAGCCTCGATTATATCTTTAGCAATCAGACGAACTCTCACACTATCAGGGTGAATTGCAGGCAAGATCCTCCCCCTGAACGAGCCCTTGAGTTCTTGAAACTGAGACTCCCCCATCTTCTTCTCCATATTGCTGCTCAACAGCACGAAATGCTTTCTTTTCGTGTAGGGCACAGTCTCGAGGTTACCAAAAAAGACGGTGATCACTACGCCGGAGCTCACCAGAACGACTATCAAAACATTCCTCGGATTCCGGAACCACCGCCGATATCCCCGAGGTTTGAAATGCTGGACGCGGCGGGGATCGACATAGTAGAACCTCCTAGCCCCACCGCCGAAAGGATTGTTGTTCGGAATCACGACTCCTCGCCTTGCGACGGAGGATTGAAGTGTTCTCGATCCTAAATCTAAGCCGAATCGTTCAGAGAGGGAAGAGTAAGGATGCGAGGCGGAAAACTTAACTGGATTCGAAGCAACAATGGAAGAGGCGGTGCGGTGAATTGGGGAAACTGATTCTTGAATTGACGGCAGCCGGTGGGCGGCGGCGGTGGTCTTGGAAGAGAAACTACGGAAGGCGTCGAGAGCGAGCTTCGACCGGGGGTAACTTGCCATGATTTGCCGGCGACGGTGACACAGCTGCCGGAGAGGAAAGACGGACTAAAACGGCGAGAGTGTCATCGAGAAATTTGGAGGGATGGCGGTTGAGATGTTCCTGAAGCTTCTGTGATAGCGTGGAAGGCAAGTTTGGTGTTAAGAGAAAAAAAGGCTGCCCGTGTGGGTGGGTGGGTGTGGCCGTCTTGATTCGGTGCCGGTCCGTCGGTGTACAAGGATTGAGAAATGACATCATAAATGGCGGTCTTTCACGAAAAGCTGATTCAGTCAGTCACAGAGGTGAAACTACAGTGGTGGACTGGGCTTCCGGGAGTAGAAACTGATTAGGTGTGGATCACTTCTTCCATGGTTGTCAGTTGTCACTCGGCCATCCCGGGTCCAATCTACACCTTCTATAAAAACTGGAAGCCAAAAACTCAAACACCATTTCAAATTTCCGACGCTAAGAGCGTTTGTAGGAATGACATTTTGATATTCACAATTACTTTTTTTTTATTCATTAAAAGGACACATACTGGGATTCGAACCATGACCATTTTAAAGGAAAGCAAGGATAATAACCAATCACACTAAGTACATTTGTAATATCTTTTTAAATTAAAAACATATAATAGCAGGGAGGAAAAACCATTCCCTCATTTCAAATTCCTTGCTCCAGGAGCGTTTGTAGGAAGGGTAGAATAGGGAGTGTCAATTTTTTTCTCTTTCCTCTGTGGAACAGGCCAACTTACCGTACACATGCGAATTTAAACGGGTCTAGGAGTGTCAGTTTTTTTTCTTTAAGCCTTTTTATTTCTCTGTGGTGATAAAATATATATGAAAAGGAAAAAATAATACTCCTTTTTATTGTTAAAAATAAAAAATTTAACAATAAACTAATGTATGGTATCTAATGGGCTAACCGCTAACCATAAAATAAAAGAGTTGAATGGGTCTGACTTACATGGGATTTGGCCATCAAGTAAAATAAATGAACATCATTGGTTTGTCATTCTAAAACAAGCTATTTTCTCTGACATAATATATATTATGCTATTATTTTAGATCTTAGTGACTAAAATATAATGTATTTTAAAGTTATTCAATGGTTCAACCTCGACCAACCCAATTAGTCCAATTTTTATCATTTCAAATATGTATTTTATAATTATTTGATATCATAATGATCAAATTATAGTGTATTTTATAGGGAATCGTTTGGTATTTGTTAGTAAAAAATTAAACATAAAGATCTATTTGGTTATTTTAAACATTAAAACGATCCTAAACATTTTCGGTTCCTTTTGAATTTCTATGGTTTTATTCCCGAATAAGTGATGTGAAAATAGCGAATTGTAGTCGACTCTTGTCTTTCACTATTTTTAATTTTCAAATAGAAAGTTTAAAAGTAAAGAATAATTAGAATTTGGCATGTGTCGGTCAAACAGTCTGAATTTCAAGTTTTGGCCTGTTTGTTTTATGCATTGCAAATTTATTAGCATGTTGATGGAAATGGCTTTGAAATAAGACATATAAGTTGTACCTTTGCAGAAGAAATGTCCTCAAATGTTTGAATGCTTTGTGAATCAGGTTCCGTGACTTTTATGATGGTGTATGTGCTTGACGATTGCTCGATGTTGTAACTACTTAATTTGAGAGTAAATCTTTTGATTTTCCCTATGAGTTGTGATACCAGTTCTGGTGGTTGCAGCACGTTGTCATTGTTGGCCTGTAAAAGTTGTTCCGCCGTGATGCTAAATACCTTTCTTTCTTTTTTAACAAATTGTGTAGTATGCTATGAAACAGACCACCCATGAACGCTACACTTATTATGGTATGTTCTTACTTCCGGTGGTGAGAAATTGTGAATTGAGAATCATATTCGCCTACCGCACTGTGTTTGGCTGGTGGCTGCTTACTGTGCTCTCTAGAGTTATGAAACAGACTACCCATGAACGTTACCCTTAAGAGTCCATAACTTTGCGAAAAACCAAATTTATGCAATCAAAGGTGGTGGATGTGTGATGATTTTTTATGGCTTAATTGTTTGTGAATTGGATATCTGATCTTTGTATGATTAGAGGGCATGTTTGCTTAATAGAATAATCCATTTTAATTCATGTTTATTTTTAACATGAACTTTAGTAACTCAAAACCTTCGAGACACATATCACCTACTGCATTGTATCATTTTGCCTGGGTGCTTGCTGTGTTATCAAACTTCTTTGCTGCTGCTGCTGCATTTACACTAACAGGGGAGTTAAGAACCCATGAATGTTTCCGTTTGACACAAACAGGAGGACTTGCTTCTAAATCGTGCACTAAAGATGATTGGAGGAAACATCTCTGTTGCAGTTGATATACTGGAGACCAGAACAAAAGCAACGTATAACATCAAAACCAACCATCTGAACTATTAGCATTGTTGCTTTACTCTTTTTTCGTGGTTGAGTCTCCTTCAAAAAACTTAGTTTGATTTTAGAAAATTTTGCTTCTGCAGTCCTGTCTTGCCACCAACGCGTTCAGTAGATGGAGATGGCAGAGGCGAAGGCTATTTTTGTGTTGTTGTTGCTGGTTTAGGGATCGATTTGTGAAGAAGAGGGAGAAGAGAGGGGGAAAGGGAAATGCAGGAGAGGGGATAACTCTTTTCTCCGACAAAAATGGAGTGAAGAAATGAATTATGATCAGTAAGGATATGGTTATCTTACATAACGGTCTCAATTCTGTTTGAATTGAGCTTCGGAAGCAGTGATAAGGACGAGCTGCAACCAATTCATAGTGAGAAGAGAGCTATGAACTGTGATCATGTCTTATTTCAAGTTAGAAGGTAGTTTCAGTATAAGGATTATTTAATTTGACAAGTTGTTTCATCCATGATTCTTGGTAGTTTCAGTGCCATTCTAGCCATTGTTTAGTCTGTAATTTTTGAGAATTGATGTGCGAGTAATGACTTTCACTTAGCTTCAACTATTATGTGTGTACTTATTGGCATGTGATAGAATTCTCTTTTCCTTTTCTTTGAATTCAGTTTCATACTCTAATTGTATCATTTGTACATAGGCAAATCATGCTCGAGATGACAACTCGCTGATATGGCTGGTGCAAGGAATGAAGCCATCATTAGAATTCAGACCGACAACGGGGAGGAATGCCTAGGACTAATTCAATGATGATTGATGATGGTATAATAAAAACTGCAGTCTGCATCAGCACCAATTTCTAGACCTAAGTAAAGTTATTCGACCCAGAACTCTGCTTAGTGCTAAAAATTGCGCTCACCCAACCTTGATCCTGTTTGACCCACTTCTGAAGAGTCAAGATATATGACTAATCCTCCCCGTTCGTATTTTCTTATTGACTCTTTCTGACCCTTTAGGTTGGGGCGGGTCGGGAAGAATCGGATTAGTGGGTCGGTCCTAATCAAGTGAAATCTCAATCCCTTCACTCTCACTTGCTTTCTCTCCCATTCCACAAGTGGGTAACATACAGTAATCCGGCCAACGGGCCGGGTGATAAGCTAGTTCCAATATGAGAGCCCATTTTTGCAAAGAGTAATTGGGGGAGTGATCCACACGATTAATGTCTAATTGACGTCATTAATCGAGCTAAATCATGTGAGAGAGTCATGTCTTTCCTTATTCCATCATTTCCCCTTCTTCTCTCTGTTTTTCTTATTAGGGTAGCTTGCTGGTTTTTTTTTTTTGTTGTCATCTTCATTCTTCCTCTAATTCGCGTTTCGCACAAGTTCTTCTCTGTCATTCAATCTTCCTCCCACACTTCAATCGACGCACTAATGAGGGTTTCAACCTCTCCATCTCGTTTCCTCGCAATTCATCCTCAGGAGGTTTGGTCTTCCTCTCCTACTTCAGTCGACGCACCGACGATGTTTTCTTGCTTTAAGTATCATTTTGCAGCCGTTCTTCCTCTATCTTTTGCTCTTCGTCTCCAACTCGGCTCAGAGAAGTTGACATCGTTCTTCACTCGGGTTTTCCTCTCCGACTTGTTGGCGAGAAACTCTTCAAAGATTGGTTCTCTGCATTTCTTTCGTCGTTAATTTTTTTATAGTTGTTAATAGAGCGCACTAGGCGAATTAAAAAAAATGTGGGTACATGAAGGTTTGAGTGTGTTTTCTCTTCTTGTCGTGGAATGGCATTTCTCTTGCATGTCTCTTTTTGCTTAAATCGGTTTGGTCTTGTGGATTTGAAAGCCCAAAATTATATATATTTTAGGATAGGTTTGTCTGTAGTCTTTTGTGTGGAATGACATTGATCTAGGCAGTCTCCAACAACATGAGGAGAATAAACATATTTTAACTGGGAGGCAACCAAAACAGAGGAAGACTTGTGGTTGTCTTGACTTGTCAAGTAAGGTGGTCAAGGCAGAAGAGAATGAGACTCCATGTAAGGCTACCAAGGAAAGACATGTCGACCATGTACCACCCACTGGTAAGCTAGAAAGTCAAAACTAATGTATGAAGAGTCATGTGGTCTATGGATAACTTGTCTGGTTTGATTTATGAACTAGGCAGTGGGGGTACACCTTTAGCGCATTGGTTGTTGCCAAAGGCTATGGAGAGCAATGATTGCGTCACTCCTTGACATATTAAATAAATAGATAGGTAAGTTATATATATAATAGCCAACAATGGCTAAGAGAAAAAGAAAATAGCTAGAGAATTGAATACTAGTATAGGGCACATGATCTGCAGATGATAATATTGGTGTGTGTGATCTGTAATGAGGAATGGTGAATTAATTGTATTGTCTCCAATTGCAGTCTTCAATGTTGTGGTAGATAGTTGGAGTTGGTTGATGCAGTTGTGGTAGTATTGATGATTTCCTACACTCCCCCTCAAGCGAAGACAATAATGTCAATAATGTCGAGCTTGAAAGCAATAGAGGAATGACATCTTGGATAAGGTTGATTTGGAGACCGCTGACTGCTTCTCTCTAAACAACATGATATGTATTCCGACACATTTGACATTGTGATCAATCTGATGACTGAACTAGTCGACAGGATGACTGAACCGGTCGACTGATTTGTGTTGATTATGTTGATTCCCTATTCTCTCTCTCAATGTGGAGCATGAACATCGTGAATGCCCAGGTTGAAAGGTGATGAATAATTGGTCTTAGCCAAATAATAACACCGAGGGGTCTATCTTTGGACCGTGCCTGCCCTTTTGACGCCGAGGGGAGGATCCC